GTAGATCTCCGTGAGTTTGAGCCAGCCTGGTCTCTATATATATTGCTCTATGTCAGCTAAGAGTATATAAAGAGAATTTGTCTCAAGCTCCCCCTGCAAAAAACCAATAACTTGTAATATGTTTCTATGTGTTTGGGAGAGGGAGGCATATGCAGGCCAAAGGATAGCCTGTGGGGATTGGTTCTCTCCGTCTGTCATGTGGGTCCCAGGGGTCAAGTTCTAGTATCATCGGGCTTGCCAGTGAGCACCTTTCCCTGCTGAGCTGCATTTGACTTTCGATTTAGCTCGTTTTTATTACCTTGTTTCCTAAATATTGGCTCTCTCGTTCTCACTTTGACCAGTTACTTCCTGTGGCTCTCTGACCTGTTCTTGTGGATTGGCCTTCGTTCATTTTGTAGGGCAATTGTCTAGTATGTTTTACCATATTCCCTCCAAACTTAGACCAAATCGGAAAGCACCTGAGACCTGTGTGGCCGTATGTATAACCACGAGCCTGGCAGGAACAATGCAAATCGTATGTTGTAGCTTGGAATGGGCCTGTTAGATATGGAGCACCTTGCAGTCGATCCTGGGCTAGCGTGGGTTACCAGGAAATAGAACATGGTAATTCCAGAGTTTCTCTTCCCTGGACTGTGTCACCGTGGAAAGAGTGTAACTACCGTTCTTCGTCTCTCACCAACATCACAGTGCATCCCTAGGGACACCTAAAATTCATCCAGGGCACAGAGGACTCTGGAACATAGTTGGAGTGTAAGTAGGTTTAAACATTAGTCAAACCAGTCAGTGTGGCTCTGGGCTTCTCTGGTTCCTAATATTGACCCAAATTTGAAACTAGAAAACAGACTTCCAAACCTTGCAGAGATGTTGGCATAGTGAGTGAGATGTGCCTAGCCTTAGACTAATTTTCAGCCACCATATAGACTGCAAACTGTATACCCTGCAAGTAACAGCCTGGCTTTGTTAATAAAGTTTTATTGCCACACAGCCATGTCCATTTGACTACATGTTGTCCACGGCTGCTTCCTCCACAATGGCAACTGAACAGTTATAACAAAGACCCCCATGGCCTCCAGAGCCTAAAATATTCAGTACCTGGCCTTTTGAGAAAAGCAGCCACTTTAACTTTGTGAATTTAGAGTAAGGATGCTGAGATGATAAGCTGTATTTCTAAAGACACACTGCTCTTATTAGACTCTGGAATACCATAGCCAAGAAATAGAACTCTGGAAATCAGTCTGTTATGGTTCATTATTGAATTCAACACAGGAGATAATGACCTCCAATTACAGCAGGTTTCAGAGGCCCCTCGCATCTGTTTCATTAATAGTATCTTCTGATTATTGCAGCGGCCGGGGGGGGGGGGGGGGGGGGGGGGGGATCAAAGGTACAAAATTTGACCCCTGTGAAATTATTTAGAATCTCAAATATGGAGATGACTCTTACTATTACTTCACTTCAGCACGCCCATGGGCCTGGTAATAGGAAGGAGGGGTATGGCTGAGTGTCTGAACGCTCTCAAACCAAGAGTATAATAGACATTTTCCTCGGAGCCGCTGGTCCTTAGTAATTGGGAGGACTGCTTCCACCGAGGCAGACAGTGTTAGTGAATAATTGTCCACCCGTGCATTAGAGGTCACTTGATGCTTTTAGCCTTCCTTGGAGGTCAGTCCCCTCAATGTCTAGCATTCTGAATAGAAACGAAAGAGTTGCAAGACTGACGTCATCGTCTTAACTTCTGTCATAGTGTCGCCATCTAATCTAAACATCTAAAACTCCCCATTTCACATTCTATTTTCTGCCCAGCGTTTATCATCATCGTGTGATTATACTGTAAAATTATTACTCGTGGGCTAGCGAGACGGCTCAGTGAGTAAGAGCGCTTGCTGCCCAGCCTGAGGACCTGAGTTCCACCCTCGGAACCCACGTGGTAGGAGGAGAGAACCGGTGTCACTGAGTTGACCTCTGACCTCCACACTCGCCATGGCACCCTTGTGCCCACACATGTATGTGCATGCACAAAAGGAGTGATTTTTGGAAATGGTTACTCTTCATCTCCTCCACTAGAGTAGAAGCTGATTCAGTTGCTGTCAGTAATTAATTAGGTCTAAAGAAATAATCATGCCTGAGTGTGTTTGGCACATGCTTCTCATCCCAGCATTTGGGATGTGAAGGCAGGATGATCAAGAGTTCAGCACCAGCATGGTGGCACACTCCTTTAATCCCTGCACTTGGGAGGCAGAGGCAAGCTGACCTCTGGGTTCAAAGCCAGCCTGGTCTATAGAGGGAGTTCCAGGACAGCCACAGTTACACAGAGAAATAAACCCTGGTCTCACGAAAAGAAAAAAAAAAAAAAGAGTTCAACACCAGCCTTAGCCACTTATCAACCTCATGAGACCAACATGAGGTGTATGAGACCATGTCTGAAAAAGGGGGGCTATTGAGGTGGCTCAGCAGGGAAAGGCTTAGGCCACCAAACCTGACAACCAGTTCCCTCTCTGGGACCCACATGGTGGAAGGAGAGAACCAACCATGAGGTTATCCTCTGACCTCTCTCTCTCTCTCTCTCTCTCTCTCTCTCTCTCTCTCTCTCTCTCTCACACACACACACACACACACACACACACACACACACACACACACACACACACTGTATTCGATACTTTTCTGTTGGCTGTGACAAAACACCGTAACCCAGGTAATTATTATGTAAGAGGTTTGGCTTATAGCTTCAGAGGGTTAAGCATCCATCGTGGCAGGGAGGCAGAGCAGCAAGCAGCCGGCATGGCGGCCGGCACAGGAAGCTGAGAGCGCCTATCTTCAAATGCAGGCCTGGGCAGAGAGAGCAGGCTGGAAGTGGTGAGAGGCTTTTACTATTAAAGCCTGTCCCCGGCGACATACTTTCTTCAGTTTCACCACCTAAACCTCACCAAACATCACCACCAACTGGGGACCAAATGCCTGAGAGCATGGGGGGCATTTCTCATTTAAACCATCACATGCTTTAAAAAAAAAAAAAAAAAAAAAAGGAAATTCAGGGCCGCAAAGATGTGTCAGTGGGCAGAAGCACTTGCTGTACAAACGTCCCTGGGATCCATGAGGAAGCCAGATAGAATGGGGCGTATTTGTAACCCCAACACACCTAGTATACGATCAGAGGCAGAGACAAAAGACTCCCCTGGCGGCTTGTAGACCAACTAGCCCACGTTGGTCAGCTGACAGCTGCAGTCACTCCAGCTCCAGGAGATTCAGTACCCTCTTTTGGCCTCCAGAGGCACCACCCTGATGCACACAAACTCATGCTTGCACAAATACACATTTACACGTAATTAAAAAAAGAAATAAAATATTTTTTAAATGCTAGGAACTTGCAGGTGTGGTGGTGCACATCTGTAATCTCAGCACCCGGGAGGCAGAGGCAGATGGAGCTCTGAGTTCAAGGCCAGCCTGGTCTACAGAGCGAGTTCTAGGCAAGTCGGGGCTGCATAGTCAGACCTTGATACACACACACACACACACACCTACACACACACCCTAAAACCATAAGATAAACGGTTGATGGAGGGGGCAGGGCACAGTGGAGCAGTATGGCCAATAATGTCATCCGTAAGTCTGCAGTAGATGTCATCTTGAATGTTGCTGAAGAATGAAGCGACCACCAAATTCTTGTCTTTTCTCAAAACAAATGAGCAAAACCTTAAGCCTCTAGATGTAATCACAGAGAATAGAAAAGCAAACGAACTCCACAGAAAACCACCAGTGGAACCAAGAGTATTCCACGAGGTTCACAAACACACGAAAGAAGCAGGGGAAAGAGAGAGCTTCGCGGGATTGAAAACAGAAACGTGTCAATCAAACACAAATTGAAAGAGACATATCAACCAAATGTAGTGGGAACCTACTTTGAATGATGATTTTTTTTTCTTCTTTTACTGAAAAGGACATTTTGTAAGATCTGAAAGTCTTTCAAATGGGCTTCAGACATTAGAACAATGCCAAAATTACTCGATGTAGTAGCGTCGAGATCCTATGAGACATTTTCATTATCTCACAGGGGTTCCCCGGGTAAAAGGTTGCCTGACATCTAATTATGATTAGATCTAGGTGCCTCGGGCACCTTAGGACAGGAAAAAGGTGACTCGGGAGAAAGGGGCCTGCAAGGTGGCCCAGTGGGGGGAAAGCTGCCAACCTGGTGGCCTGGATACCTTGATACCTGGAACCCACCTGTGGGAGAAGAGAACCGACTCTCCGACCTCCACGTATGCACCGTGTCCACGTACGCACCACCACCCGAGAAATGAATGAATGCAATTATAAAACAGTAAAACTGGGAAAGGAGGGCTAGAGTAAACAAGATTGATTGAGTGGTGAGGTTTGTTCAGGTTTGGCGATGGATGCCTGGAGGGCAGTCGTTAGATTACTCCGCAATGCCATCACTGCTGTAGACAAAAGGTGGTGGTGGTTTTTAAGCTCCGATCTTCCAGAGGCTCGCTGTCCTGTCATACTGTTAGATGCAATTCTGAGGCGTTCATCCAGGTGCTGGTTCTGTGAGGACACTCGCTTCTCAATAGAATAGAGAGATACCTCAGCTGGCGGGTAGCGTGCAGTGATGCTGGAAATTCTTAAGTGTAGAAAAGAGACGTAAGAGCGTACCATTAGGGTGCCACTCAGTAATAAGTGGATTGACTGTGCCAGAGGGCTTTTCCTAAAGAGTAATTCTATCCCAGAGCCCACATCCTGGGCAGAACTTGGGGAGCAGGGTTCCCCCTCCAGGACATGTTTCAGTCGACCAGATCGGAAACAGAAAAGACCGCTGTGGAGTGGTGGGGTTGGCTCTCCATGACCTAACACCATTATTCCATTATGCATTGTGGTTTTATTGTTTCCCTTATCGTGATTTGTTTTGTCTCTTCTTCTTTTACGTTCACTGGTTTTAACCCATGTTCATTTCTCGCCCCCTGTGCCCATGTCACCCTTGCTGTCTTTGCCTCCACCGTTCCCAGGTTACAGTGTAGCCAGGACATGCCCCATCCCTTGGCCGATGAGCATGCGCTGATAGCCTCCTATGTGGCCCGTCTGCAACACTGCACACGGTTAGTGGCCAGAGCAGCCGCAGCAGCCGCCCCGGGAGGGAGCACGGCCAAGGCTGCTCGGAGGGAGGGAGGGAGGGAGGGGGTGAGGTCTGGTTCCCGGGGTTGCCAGCAGCAGCAGCAGCAGCAGCGCTCTGCATGTGTGGTGTCTGAACAGCTGCCAGCTGTGATTGGCAGAGTTAATTGCCAAAGCATTGGCTTCCATAAGAGAAGGAGCCCGGCCAAGCCTGGCACTCACCTCAGCATGGAGTTAGAAAGTCTCCTCTGCCGTAAGGCACAGTCCCTGCTGGTCCCTGAGAAGCTTGAGGTTCCAAAGCTGGAACGTCCTCAAAGGAGACCCATTTTTTTTTATGTCCTCTTCTTGGACAGTTGTCATTGAGAAAAATGTACATAGGGAAAGGACCGTTTGGGGCCAGGGAGATGGCTCAGCAGGGAAAGGCCTTTGGAGATAAACATGATAACCCAGGCGGTAGAAGGAAAGAACTAGTTCCTAAACATTGTCCTCCAGCTCCACTGGCATGCCGTCGTAGCCTGCCAACACACACGCATGCATCCACATCATACACAAAAGTAAAAACATACATAAACGAAAAGGACTGTTTTAAAGGTTGCATTTCATACTATTTCCAATTACCACTCTGACTAAGCAGCAACATTATTTAGGGGCATTTCCCTCTCCTTAAAGTCTTGGGGGAACAATCAGGTCCTACAAACTCCCAGGTGAGTTTGATGGGCTTCTCCTGTGGGCGGGAGAAAGGAGTTGATAATCGCATACTCTGTCAGAGAATTTCCATGTGCACCAGATGGTATCTGTGTACTTCTCCCAGCCTCTTGGTCTCTGAGAACAGAACTGTTTATCTCAGGCAGGGTAAGTAATGTTCTGTCAGTAAAGGCAGTTGCTCAGGGTGCTTGAAAGCGTCCGTGGTAACCCATGGTAGCAGAATATTGCAGAGGCTGCTGCTTGATATTTCAGCCCATGAGTTTGTGACAGGTTTAGCTAGCATCCTCAAGTCCCTGAGCAAGGATTGGTGACCACTGGTTCAGAAAGAGCAAGAGGAATGGATGAGTACTGCATCCTCTATGGTCTACAGTCTAAGGAAATGAGCCCCATACTGCCTCTTATTCCATTATGCATTGTGGAAGGAACCAGAGATTTCTTGGCTGATTATAAAACTGTAAGTCGACTGGAACAGACAGATAACAAACCGATGACTGTTTTGTTTTGTTTTATTTCATGGCACTAGTGATTGACCTGGGGGCTTCATATGTGCTAGAAAAGTACGTTACCACTAAGCAATATCCCTAGCCCTCTTTTTACTTTTGATTGGGGAACAAATTACCCAGGCTGTCCTTGAATTCAGTTTGTGGTCCAGGCACACCTTGAACTTATGATCCTCTTGCCTTAACGTCCCATGTTGCTCTGGTCAAGTCATCATCATTATCCCTCTCTCCCTAAAGCTTCTTAGTGGGCATGGTGGCTCATGGCTGTAATCCCAAAGAGGCTCACTGTGAATTCAAGGCCAGCCTTAGCTACAGAATGGAGCCTGACTAAAAAAAGAAAAGAAGTCAGCTTTATCTGTGGAGCTGATTTTCTTTTATCCGGTACCGTATTATCTGGTACCTCATCTACATGGGTCCTCAGATTGTTACAATAATGGATGAGGATGGACACAGTGACACACACTTGTAATCCCTGTTCTGGGGAGACTAAGGCAGGAGAATTGGGATCTATCTGGGCAATAGAGAAATAACTCATCCCCACCCCCACCCTACCCCCACAAAAATAGAGAGGAAGAGGATGGGCTAGTTCACTTCAAACTGGACCCATGTGTGAAATGAGCATCGTGTGGCAGGAGAAAGGGTGTTCAAAGGGAATGTCTAGTACCATGGACTCTTTGCAACTTGACAGTCTTCTTGGCCAACCCTGGCTGGGATTCTCCTTCTTCCTTCAGTCAGTGTTAGTATTTTCTTAGCTGTCTGTTTTTTGTGGTCCCATAGTTTTCTTAAAGACCTAACTCTACAAAGTTAGTTTTCCCAAACATTTGGTTAGAAACCCCCATCTCGGGTTTTTGCAGGATGTCTTTTTTCAGCCCTCCATTCAGAAAGAAGTTGCCCCTTTGCTGCTGTGGATGCATGGGGTATGATCTCTGCAGCCTCATTATTTCCCTGAATCCCCTCATCTGAGAAGACTGAGTGTCTGTGACCCCGATGTCTACTTGTTATTATCATTCTTAGTCATAACCCTTTCTCCTTGAGGAACAGAAGAAGAATTAGAGATGTCTAACAGATACCTATTGGATTTTATCTCCTTGGCAGTGTCCTGGACAGTCCTAGCCGATTGGATGAGGAGCACCGGCTTATAGCACGCTATGCTGCCCGACTGGCTGCAGAGGCTGGAAACATGGTACGTGACTGGAGGATGCCAGGAGAGTACCAGAGTGTAGCGTCATTGAATATGCATATTACTTAGGGGAATAGTAATTGTGACACTCATGAGAGAGGGTTACTGGGGAATAGAAGTAGGGGGCTGTGGAGGAAGAGAATGAAGGAGACTTTAATTTTATCTGTAATGTTCTCTTTGAAACACAGATCAAGAAAAATAATCAAACAGAATCTAGTTACTCAAAAATATCAATACATTTAGTGTAAACTCCTAACAATACCAATCAAGGGGAAAAGAGAGGCAGTACAAATTACCAATGTCAGGAATGAGAGAAGGGATATCACTACAGATCTTACAGAAATTGAAAGCAGGAGAAGAAATATTATCTTCAATAAAATTAATAACCCAGCCAGGTATGGGAGTGAATGCCTTTAATCTCAGCACTCAGGAAGTAGAGGTGGGTAAATCTCTGTGAGTTTGAAGCCATCCTGGTCTACAAAGGGAAATTCCAGGCCAGCCAGGGCTGCACAGTGTAACCCTGTCTCAAAAAAAAAAAAATTAAAAAAAAAAAGAGGTTAGCACAGGTGCAATGTGACTATTTCTTGAAAGACACACACACACACACACACACACAAATAACATGAAAATTAGGCCAAAAAAAGTTAAATGTTAAAGAAATTGAATTCATAATTAATTTCCCACAAAGAAAACTCCATACCCTGATGACTTTACTGTTGAATCTATCATGCTTAAAGGATGGGGGAAAATGTGAAAAGGCGAATACTCCATGATCAGCTTAATTTATCCAAGGTATGCAAATTTATATTCTATGTTAAAAATGAATCAGTGTAATTCACATTAACAAATTAAAGAAGAAATTTGTGAAATCATTTTAGTAGATGCAGAAAAGGCATCTGGCGTAGGACAGACTTCTTCCCCTGAGCAGTGCCTAAACACACAAACCTCCCGCTAGTGTCAACATTTAAAGACTAGATTCTGGAACGTTCCTCCCTATACATCCTCCTGGTCTAATTTTACTATCTCTGTTTACAGTTAGTTGCATTAGAAGTCTTAGCCAGTGCAACACAAAGCAGAAACTCTGAAAAGAACAATGTTCTTTGAAAGTAACACCATCATCTCCAGAGAGTGCTTTAGAACCTGTGTAAACACTTGACGGTAGAGCTACAAGATAAAAGTGTCTAAAGAGACTGGGAGTGTATGACTCAGTGCTTGAGTGCTTGCCCTGGATTCAGTCTCCAGCGCCACCAACAATAAGATTAATAACAATGAAAGGGATTTAAGACCGAAAGGTATAAAACACTGCTAAAAGAAATGAAAGAGAGCCTATGTCAGTTGAGAGGTGTGTCATGTTGTTGACTGAAAGATTTGGTGTTGACCTAAGTGTATATCTTCAGACTGACTTACAGAGGCAATACCAGTCAGAGGCCCAACAGGTATTTGGTTTTGGTTGGGTTTTAGGAATCTAAGTATATAACCACCCTAGCTGGCCTCTAACGTCCTGGGTAGACTAGGCATGTGTTACTGTGCCATACTCAACAGGCTTCTGTTTGTTGCTAAATTGGCAAACTCATTTTAAAATATGTTTAGGGAACTAAAGGACCTGTCTTAGTTTGGGTTTCTATTGCTGTGAAGAGACACCATGACCACGGCAACTCTTACAAAGGAAAACATTTAATTGGGGCTGGCTTACAGTTCAGAGGTTCAGTTCATTGTCAACATGCAGGCAGACATGGTGCTGGAGAAGGAGCTGAGAGTTCTACATCTTGATCCAGTAGAAGTAGAAGCAATCAGTAGAAGAGGCGTGCCACACTGGGTGTGGCTTGAGCATCTATAAGACCTCAAAGCCCACCTCCACAGTAACACACTTCCTCCAACAAGGCCACACCTACTCCAACAAAGCCACACCTCCTAATAGTACCCCACCCTATGGGCCAAGCATTCAAACACAAGAATCTGTGGGGCCATACCTATTCACACCATCACAGAACCCAGTGTAACTATGTCAGTCTTGAAAGAGAACAGAGTTGGCAAATGTCACCCTAGGTGAAACCAAGGCCTGCTTTAAAGCTCTAGTAATCAGGAAAGTGAGGTTTAGCCAGGCATTGTGGCACACACCTTTCTAGCACTTGGGTGGCAGAGTCAGGTGGATCTCTGTGAGTTTGAAGGGCTACTCTGGTCTACACAGTGAGTTCTCTGTCTCAAAAAAACCAAACAGACAAACAAAAAAGTGAGGTCTAGCCAAAAGATGGACAGATAAACCAAGGAAACAGGATAGAGCATCCATAAAATAGACTCCCAACAATGACACAAAAGCAATTCTGTCAGGAAAGGGAAATAATTTTTTAAAGATTTGTTTTTATTTTATGTATATGGATATATGTATATGTTTTGTTTTGTTTCTTGCCTACATGTGCATCTGTGTACTATTCACTGCTCTAGAGGTGGTGCGACCTGGGATAGATAGAGTCGATAAATGAGGAGGACTAACATCTCATGCAATAGATAATTTTATTCTAAATAATCACACAGAGTCTTATTCTTACTTATCAATGCTGGCCTTAGCTTGGCTTGTTTCTAGCCAGCTTTTCTTAAATTATCCTGTCTACCTTTCACCTCTGGGCTCTTACTTTTTTCTGTTTCTGTACATCTTTTCTTTCATTTTTATTCTGTGTCTGGCTGTGTGGCTGGCCCCTGGTGTTCTCCTCTCCTCCTTTTCTTCACTCCTCTCCCTTCTCTTTTTCTTCTTCTATTCATTCTCTCTGCCTGGCAGCCCCGCCTATCCTTTCTCCTGCCTCGCTATTGGCTGCTCAGCTCTTTTTTTTTTTTTTTTTTTTTGAGCTTTCCAATGCCTCTTGGCATTTCTTTTTTTTTTTTTTAATTTTTATTTTGCAATACAATTCAGTTCTACATATCAGCCACGGATTCCCTTGTTCTCCCCCCCTCCCGCCCCCCTCACCTTCCCCCCAGCCCACCCCCCCATTCCCACCTCCTCCAGGGCAAAGCCTCCCCCGTGGACTGAGATCAACCTGGTAGACTCAGTCCAGGTAGGTCCAGTCCCCTCCTTCCAGGCCGAGCCAAGCGACCCTGCATAGGCCCCAGGTTTCAAACAGCCGACTCATACAATGGGCTGCTCAGCTCTTTATTAGACCAATCAGGTGTTTTAGGCAGGCAAAGTAACACAGCTTCACAGAGTTAAACAAATGCAACATAAAAGAGTGCAACACATCTTTGCATCGTTAAACAAATGTTCCACAGCGTAAACAAATGTAACACACCTTAAAATAATATTCCACAACACAACAGACAATTTATACTCTGAGGGTTAAGAGGAGTCACATGAGTAAAGTGTCCAATCACAAGGACAAGCTGCATGTGGCAGACAAGCCGTTCATGCAAAACCATGTTTTTCTATAGCAGCATATAAACAAGTAATAATACACAGTTGTAATGAATAATCTGAAGTAAACTCATTCTTATCTGCTATACTTTGGAGGAACACAAAAGCACATTCCAGGAACAATTTTGTGTTTTTGAAGAAACTGAGGTCACAAAATTCTTGTCTTGTTTCCTTGGAGTTTTCTCATAAGCACTCAGAATTCTCCTCACACAACTCCATTCTTGGACCGTGTTCCAGCTGTGTACCATGCATGTGTGGGAAAAGGCCAGAAGAAGGCATCAGATCCTCTGGAACTAGAATTACAGGTGTTTGTTAGCCATCCTGTAGGTGTTGGGAACTAGACCTGGGTCCTCTTGAAGAGCAATCAGTGCTCTTAACTGCTGAGGCATCTCTTCAGGCCCAAATTTCTCTTTTATAAGTTATTGATGTTAAAAAACTTGGGGTGAGGGTGCTGGAGAGATACCTCAGCAGTTAAGAGCACTTGCTACTCTTACAGAGGACTGGAGTTCAAGTCCCAGCACCCACATCAGGCAGCTCACACCAGCCTGTAACTCCAGCTCCAAGGGATTCAGTGTCTGTTTCTGGCCTCTGTAGGCACCTGCACTCACGTGCACAAATCCATACACAGAAACACACGCACACATAGAATCAAAAATAAATTTTTTTTTACTTAAAAATCAGTCATTGTGTTAATGAAATATCAGGCACAACTGAAAATAAAATTTGTGAGCTAGAAAATATGTATAAGAAAAATTTCCAAACCTTGAGACAGAATGGCTTGTGTGGTAACCCCTGCTGCAAGTTCAAGGTCAGCCTGAGCTATATAGTGAATTCTAGGCCATCCTGGGATATGTGAGAATCCTGAATGTGAGAATCCAAAGTTCATGATCATCATCTCCTGCACTGGGAATTTGAAGCTAGTTTGGGCTACATGAGACCCCAGCTCAAAAGAGGAAAAAAAAAAAAAAAAAAGAAAGAAAAATCTCCAAAACACAACACAGAGTTGGATAATGTGAACTAGTATGTTCAGAGATGGAGTAGAGAGAACCAACAGCCATCTAACTGGAGTCTAAACACTTCAGAATTAGGGTTAAACGCAATGGTTAAAATGAGTCCTCGGGAGGTTCTTCTTGGAGTCACGAATGATAGTGGGAGGCACTGCTGCTTGGTTTTAGAGTGCTTTCCTGGTTTGCACAGTTGCTGGCTTCCGTCCCCAGGACCTCAAGAGTAAGAGAGAGAGAACGTACTGTTTACAAAGGATTGGTAATTTCTCCACAGCGACAACGGGATGATTTTTCATAAATGGTGGGGAAAAAAAAGCTTTATTCAAAGATACAATGTCTGAGTATATCCTATGTTGCTAATTCCTTTATAGGGAAAAACAGTTGAGTGTCATTACTGCGCTGAGAAGAGCTGGTTAAAATGGTAAAGGGAAAAGGAGAAACATACTCCAACCGGCTTGGGAAGGTGACAGACAGGATGATGATGCATGTTAACAGAGTGGTACTCAGGACTCACACTTCCTGACTGTGCACTAGGTGGCAGTCACTCCCCTAAGTGCTCTGCAGATCTTAGCTAATCGATTATTCAGAACGGTCCTGTT